CAGGAGACCCTGGTTCAGTTCCTGGGTTGGGAAGAACCCCTGGAGAAGGGAAAGGCTACCCACTCCAGTATTCTGGCCTGGAGAATTCCAAGGATTATATAGTCCATAGGGTTGCAAAGAGTTAGACACAACTGAGTGACTTTCACTTTCACATATAAATAATATGTATAATATATATATTTTTGAAGATTTATGAATTTTTGCCTAACTAAAGAATTTGACATTTTTATTTCACTTGACTAAGTATGAATAGAATGCTAGATTTCTAATTTTAAAAATAGATATGCAACAAGCAACAATGGTTTACTCTATAGCACAGGGAACAAAGTCAATATCTTATTATAACCTATAATGGAAAATAATTCAAAAATAATATATGTGTATATGTATAACTGAATCATACAAGAAAAGAATCTACTTTTTGAAATTCAGTAATGTTTATCTTTTTGTCAGTTTTTCTAAATGTCCTATGGAAACCAAATAACAAATGAGATACAAAATTTTAACTATAGTTGTGTAGGATATAAGATTAATATAAATATAAAACTATTGTATTTAAATTATTAATGAAATCATTCAAGACACATCTATTCTTATTTTTTATGCAATTGATTAAATAGTCTCAGAGAAATATTAATATGTCTCACTATGATTATATATTTTTTCCTTTTCCCTTACATTTCTTCTCATCTTTGCTTTACGTATCTTTGTTTCTCTGTTGTTAGGTGTGTAATGGTTTATGATGTCTATCTCTGTTGTGAATTGTACCTTTTATCATTAAAAATATCATCTTTGTTTAAAAAAACAAAAGATGGAAGAAAGAAAGATATTCTAAGTATTCTAAAATATTTCAAGGAAAACATGAGTATAATTAGAAATACAAAAGTAGAACCAAATAGAACTTCTAACACTAAAAAACATGTGAAATGAAAAATCAAATAAATGGTCTTAGTTGCAGAAGAAAAGATCCATGCTCTTCATTTGCCACAAATATCAAGCATGCAAAATAACAGACAAAGAAGGGATGAAAATTTGGGGGGGCGGGGAAGGCAGAACATCAATAAGCTGTGGAAGTCTCTAGCATGTCAACATATATATAATTGAAGTCCCAGAATAAAGGAGCAGAAAAATCATTTGGCGAAATAAAGACTACAAATGTACTATACTGGGTAAAAACTACAGCCTCTAGAGACCAGATAACCTACTCCTTTATCATTGCTTCTGTTATTACCTAGAAAGGGTCTATGATCCTCTGGATCACAGAAAATTCCAAAAAAACATCTACTTCTGCTTCACTGACTATGCTAAAACCTTTGACTATGTGGATCACGACAAACTGGAAAATTCTGAAATTCTGAAAGAGATAGGAATACCAGACCATCTTACCTATCTCCTGAGAAACCTGTATATGGGGCCAGAAGCAGCAGTTAGAACAGGACATGGAACAATGGATTGGCTTGAAATTGGGAAAGGAGTACATCAAGACCATATATTGTCACCCTGCTTCTTTAACCTATATGCTGAGTACATCTTGCAAAATGCTGGGCTGTATACTCACAAGCTGGAATCAAGATTGCTGGGACAACGTCAGATATGCAGATGATATCACTCTAATGGTAGAAAGTGAAGAGGAACTAAAGAGTTTCTTCATGAAGGTGAAACAGGAGAGTGTAAAAGCTGGCTTAAAAACTCAACTCGCAAAAAATGAAGACCATGGCATCTGGTCCCATCACATCATGGCAAATAGATGGGGAAAAATTGCAAACAGTGAAAGATTTTATTTTATTGGGCTTCAAAATCACTGTGGACAGTGACTGCAGCCACACAATTAAAAGATACTTGCTGCTTGGAATAAAACCTATTAAAAACCTAGACAGCATATTAAAAAGCAGAGATACTACTTTGCCAACAAAGGTCCCTACTGTCAAACCTATGGTTTTTCCAGTAGTCATGTACAAATGTAAGACTTGGACCATAAAGAAGGCTGAGAGCCACAGAGTTGATGCTTTTGAACTGTGGTGTTGGAGAAGACTCTTCAGAGTCTCTTGGACTGCAAGGAGATCAAACCAATCAATCCTAAAGAATATCAACCCTGAATATTCATTGGAAGGACTGATGCTGAAGCTGAAGCTCCAGTACTTTGGTCACCTAATGTGAAGAGCTAACTCATTGGAAAAGACCCTGATGCAGAGAAAGATTGAGAGCAGGAGGAGAAGGGGGTGACAGAGGATGAGACGGTTGAATGGTAACATTGACTCAATGGACATGAGTTTGAGTAAACTCCAGGAGATAGTGAAGGACAGGGAAGCCTGGCATTTTGCAGTTCATGGGGTCGCAAAGTGTCAGACACAATTTAGCGACCAAACAACAACAGACTAGGAGGAGATATTCAAATGCATACTATTTCTCACAAAGTACTCAGTACAGAGTCTATGAAAAATTTCTACAAATCCATGATAAAAAGGTAGAGCAAAATGGAACAACAGACTGGTTCCAAATAGGAAAAGGAGTACATCAAAGCTGTATATTGTCACCCTGCTTATTTAACTTATATGCAGAGTACATAATGAGAAACATTGGGCTGAATGAAGCACAAGCTAGAATTAAGATTGCCAGGAAAAATATCAATAACCTAAGATATGCAGATGACACCACCCTTATGGCAGAAAGTGAAGAGGAAATAAAGAGCCTTTTGATGAAAGTGAAAGAGGAGAGTTAAAAAGTTGGCTTAAAACTTAACATTCAGAAAACTAAGATCATGGCATCTGGTCCCATCACTTCATGGCAAATAGATAGGGAAACAGTGGAAACAGTGGCAGATTTTATTATTTTGGGCTCCAAAATCACTGCAGATGGTGACTGCAGCCATGAAATTAAAAGATGCTTACTCCTTGGAAGGAAAGTTATGGCCAACCTGGACAGCATATTAAAAAGCAGAGACATTACTTTGTCAACAAAGGTCCTCTAGTCAAGGCTATGGTTTTTCCAATAGTCATGTATAGACGTGAGAGTTGGACTATAAAAAAAACTGAGCGCCGAAGAATTGATGCTTTTGAACTGTGGTGTTGGAGAAGACTCTTGAGAGTCCCTGGGACTGCAAGGAGATCCAACCAGTCCATCCTAAAGGAAATCAGTCCTGGGTGTTCAGGACTGATGCTGAAGCTGAAACTCCAATACTTTGGCCACCTGATGCGAAGAGCTGACTCACTGGAAAAGACTCCGAAGCTGGGAAAGATTGAAGGCAGGAAGAGAAGGGGACGACAGAGGATGAGATGGTTGGATGGCATCACCGACTCAATGGACATGAGTTTGAGTAAACTCCGGGAGTTGGTGATAGACAGGGAGGCCTGGTGTGCTGTGGTTCATGGGGTCGCGAAGAGTCGGACACGACTGAGCGACTGAACTGAACTGAACTGAAGACTGTCAGGTTACAGCATCTATAACTGACAGGGATTTTGGCAGAAAAAAAACTGGCTCCATCTTTTAAGTAGACTGAGCTAATATAATTTTAATGAAGTCCATAGAATTTTAATTTTAATCCAATGTGATGAGTAAAAATAGATCAAAGTCTATATTACAATGAAAGACAATAATGAGAAAAGAAAGGAGAGTCAGATAGAAATCAAGAATAACAAAGATGGGCAGGGGATGAAATAAAACAGACAAGACAGGGAAATACCAAGAATGAGAGAGACCAAGATGAAGAAATAAACAGAGAAACAAAAGTGAAGAGTTGATAGAGAGAGAGAGAGAGACAGACAGACAGACAGACAGAGAGGATCAGAGAAATGAGTAAGAGGTATGGAGAGAGGAAATCAGACACAGTGTGGACAATTCTCAAATACACTTGAGAAAGGATATAGTAAGAAGAGATACAAGGATCCTGGGAGAGAGAAGAGGTCAGCCCACACTTCTCTGTCTCCCCGCTCATTCATCCCTCTTAAAAAAAAAATTTTTTTAAAGTAAATTCCCTATCTCAATCATATTCACTTTGCTATAATAGGAATTGAAACATAGGGTTTCAACTTCAATATGCAATGGGGAAAAGATGGAAGTTGTTAGCACATGTGTAGAATAAAAGTTAATGATCCTCTAGAATCCTTCTGTCTGTTCCTACATCCTTTCTCAAGCTGATTTGAGAGTTATCCACACTGTACTGAAGAAGAAACTGAATCTAATGAGACAAAGCTTTGAATCAACAGTAGGAAACTGATCAGCTCCATGCCATTCCCCTCAAGCCCCAAAGGACATCCTTCAAGTAACACAAGGATACTTCCTCCTTGTCCTGGTTCAGAATACTCTATCCCCTCTCTGAGAGAATACCTGCACCCTTCAAGTCCCAGCCACAGCCTGGTCAGGGACAGTGTCTTACTCACCTCTGTCATCTGGGCATGGAGCACAGGGTATGGTACACAAAAGTTATCAGTAAGTGTTAAGTGAATAACCGTACACTGGTTCTAGACACACTGGCTTTTCCTGTAGTCGTGTATGGATGAGAGTTGGACTGTAAAGAAAGCTGAGTGCCGAAGAATTGATGCTTTTGAACTGTGGTGGTGGAGAAGACTCTTGAGAGTCCCTTGGACTGCAAGGAGATCCAACCAGTCCATCCTAAAGAAGATCAGTCCTGGGCGTTCATTGGAAGGACTGATGCTGAAGCTGAAACTCCAATCCTTTGGCCACCTCATGCAAAGAACTGACTCACTGGAAAAGACCCTTATGCTGGGAAAGATTGAGGGCAGGAGAAGGGGATGACAGAGGATGAGGTGGTTGAATGGCATCACTGACTTGATGGACGTGAGTTTGAATAAGCTCCAGGAGTTGGTGATGGACAGGGAGGCCTGGCATGGTGTAGTCCATGGGGTCACAAAGAATTGGACACGATTGAGCGACTGAACTGACTGTACAAGGACTGTCATTGCATCATTAAGTATCCCAGGGCTTAGCACAGAACCAGCACACAGTATGGCCCCAATTAATCTGTGAAGAATAAATAAACATACCTTTCTGGGCTTTGATTAGTTCTTTCCCAATTGCCAGAGTCACAAAGGCTGTGCCATTCAGAACTATGTCAGTTATTGTCTTCCAAGCATTAGGAGAGAGTCTTTCGGAGGGAGAAATAAAATTCCCTGCTGCATTGTTTATCACAACCTAATAAGTGAATAAGGCAAGCGACAGGAACTTAGATGAGGAAGAATATTTTTCCTAAAGGGCTTTTATTTCTGAAACGTATCCAAATAATATAGTAAAACTCAAGTTCATAGTCTGTTATGAAACAATACCGTGAGATTTGGTTCAGTTTTACCTTCTGTGAGCCTGAAAATTTCCTATTGTTTACCAAATTTTGGAATTCTAATCCCTGTCTCAAAATGAGGGTAGAGTCTATTATTAAAAATATACATATAGATTAAGCATGTCTAGGATGTGATTATTTATTTCGAGGAATCTCAGTTAAAGTGCCTTTAATTTCTGGTATCATTTCGGCTTAATTTAGCTAATGAAATTCTTGGTTGATGACCTGCTTCTTCAATAACAATAAAAATTCGACTTAGTTCTACAGTAGATATTGATATGTCCAAAAATATATTTAACATAGAAAAGTGCTCTCTTTGAGACTGCTGGAGAAATGGCTTCTTTCCAATATGTGAACCAAACAAAAGCAAAACATCCATGTATATCTCAGGTCTTATAAGGAGAAATCTGCAGCTTTTTTGTAGGTTTCCGTGTTTGTATTATTCTCCTCTATGGACAGAGATAATCCAAAGTTATAAAGAAAAGCAAAGAGCATGAATCATTTAAACTAAATATTGTGCTCTTGGATAGCTACTCTTATTTCAAAATCTCATTAAATAAAATGAAATAAAGTTTGTTCTATATGACTGTAAATGCATTTTTAAAGTGTTCCTGAAAGGAAATAGGATAGCAATCTACCTACTCTGTTTCCTAGCAAAAAGAGCTGGTTTTTTGCTAGCAAAGGAAAACAGGGGCTTCTTAACACAGAACTTGCTCAGCATCAATATTTTATTTCATTAATACACCTTGGTAGGTGCGATCAACATTGAACACCTCATACCGTCGCCTCATCACCATCAAACTTACGTCAGGATGTCCGACGACTTTGATCATTTCTGACACAGCGTTTTGCACCATATCAGGGTCCCTCACATCACACTGAATTGCATGAACCTGCAAAATAACAAAAGGAAAAAAAGAATTCTACATTTTTTCAGACTTCTTAATCCATAAGCATGAGTTACTTACTTAAGCATAATTCCTAAATCTGATTTAAATAACTTTTCAATGTACCTTATTTCCAGTCTGAGAAGATATCTGCTCTGCAGTTGCTTTCAAGACATCAATTTTTCTAGAAATAAACACAAGGTACTTTGTATGAGTTCTGAAATAACTTCATGTTATATTTTTCTTTTTAATTTCATAAATTAAGAAAGAGAATTTACAGCTTAAAGACATGTATTTTGAGGACAATAGAAAAGCTAAATCTATAAACAAGTAAGTTTGAGTACATTTATTTTCCAGAAGTTAAATTTAAGCAATTTTCATATATTTGACAATAATTGATAGAATTACTTTTAAGCCAGTTAAATCTTAAATTATTTCCTTAATTATATTCTTTTCTATGTGTTTTCTTGCCCGGGCATACTTTAGAAGGAAAATACATTCCTGGAATGATGTAAGCTTAGGTTAAACTATTTTTTAAAAATCTATGTTATATATAAAATCTATGTTACCAGATTTTATACCAAATTGATGGGTTTGGACAACCTATATGTATTCAGAATCTTACACTCTTCAGAAAAAAAATACACACAAAAAAGCAATGTAAATCACATAGTATTACAAAGAAAATAATATATTAACACCCTTAAAAACATTGCAACATAAAAAATAAATGTTCTGGCCAATTTGCATTAAAAGAAACATCTGAAAGAAATTCCTTTGGGCCCTTATAAATTACACAGTGACTTATCATTCAGACTATTACTTAGCCTATCTAAAAATTTATAGTATTACAAACTGAGAGAAGGGATAGTTTTTTGGCCAGTCTCTAAACCTCTAACTTGAATAGCTATAAGATACCAGGACATGCCTAAATAAATTCTTTCCACAAGGCCTCCCCCTTCCTATACTCATCACAATAGATGTTTCAAAATATTTGCCCATCTTATAGGAAAGGGAAGCATTCTATCCATTATCCTGATGCAAGGTTAACTATCTACTGAATCAGTAATTATAATCAATCTCATTAAAAACAAAGGAGCCTCAATAGAGTACTTTATTACTTTATACACAGAAAAAATTCTGTCACTGAACTTATGAAGTATATTATCAGTTCCATCATCAATCATTACTTCTATCATCACAAATAATAACTGACTTTTCCCAGGGAGATTTAAATAATCTGAAGAATATTTCATAGAGACTAAGATGCAAATCAAACAAATCTGGCAAAAAGTGTTTTCAACACTGTCACACAGAATTATTCCATCAGTAGACTCTTGCAGGCAACTCACGGAGACTCACTCACCGGCTGGCTATCACACACTGCGCACCCAGGCTGGACAGATAAGTTGTCATTCCTTTTCCAAGGCCAGTGCCTCCCCCGGTAATAAATGCCACTTTTCCTTGAAAACTATTGGGTGGTAGCATCACTTTTGGAAAAGGTGGAAAGAATTTAGACTGCACAGCTTCATTGTTTTGATATAATGTTTTTGTTCCATAACTGAAAAACTAATAGAAAAAAAATGAACTGAAATATGCATACTTGTATTCCCACAAAATATATGAGTTTTTAAATTTATTCTTTAATATTAGTCAAATTCTTGGATTAACACAAACACTGTAAACATACTGGTACTGTATTTAATCAATTTTTATACTTTTTCTGTTGGAATGTTAAGTAACATAGAATGCTTTAAAGCATGGGCTTTGGAATTAGTCTACACAGGAGAGAACTTTCTCCCTAATCACACAACCTTCAGCAAGTTATTTAATCTCTATTTGCCTCAATTTCTTCTATAATAGGAAATAATGACAGAACCTTCCTCACAGGTCATTATAAGGATTTCATGAGACAATATAAACAATAAACTTAGAAAATTGTATAGCACATAGAAAACATCTTATATATGCTGGCATTGTTAGTTTATGTGTTTAGTTTCAAGTTAACTTAAAAAGAGCTTAAAGCATGATTGTCTTTTAACAAGAACAACTTGGAAAAAAATCACATTCCATCTTTTGAATCACTTAAGAACATTATAAAAGTCCTTTATAAGGTTTATCAAATCAAATGCCTCTTCTCATGTTGTCTTTGAATAATAAATTTAGAACGGGAAAAAAATACTTGTAATAATTAAAATGGGGGAAAATATAAAACCATTTTTGACTAAAAAAGTATTTGCACTGCTCTATCTTATATTTTACAGCTTACCCTCATATTGATTATCGAAAACACTGCTATTCTCTCATTTTTAATTATGAAAACAAACTTTTAAGTGTTAAACACAGTAACAGATAAAGAGCCAATAATAGTCATTAAATGTTTACCATGTATCAGGATTAGAAACTAATTGTTACCACCCCATGAAATAGGTATTATTTTTACCCTCGTTGTACAGGAGGGGCCCAGAGAAGTTAAATATGTTGCCCAAGTTGCAAAACCAAGATTATAAAACCTTGCATGTTGTCTCTCTATATTCATTGAGATCCTACTGAGTTTAATGATCACACTATTTGGGTACTTGATATTCCCCATCAGGTCATGGTTGTAAGATTAAAACTTTAGAATATATAATTTCCCACTAGAGCATTCTTATACATTAAATGCGCTGTCATTATTTGTCTTGAGATATCTTGAAATTTACTGCAAAGAAATAGAAATGTAGTCAATAACTTAGGATAAGGCTATTCACAAGTAGAAATTGAATGAGAAAATGCTTATAATATGATGAGGGGAAAAAAGAGAAACACACAGGATGTCCTGAACTATAAATAAAAATATATGCTTAGAAAAATGACTAGAAGGAAATAACAACAGTAAGTAGTGGATTCAATATTTGCCAAGTGTCAGGTCTACTTAGGACTTTCTACAACCCTATAAGGTAAACTGTACTGTTACAAGAGTGGAGACTAGAGATCTCTTCAAGAAAATTGCAGATATCAAAGGTACATTTCATGCATGCATGAGTACAATAAACGACAGAAACAGCAAGGACCTAACAGAAGCAGAAGAGATTGCAAAGTGGAAAGAATACAGAAAAAAGAATTATACTAAAAAGGTCTTAATGACCCAGATAACCATGATGGTGTGGTCATTCATCTAGAGTCATATGTCCTAGAATGTGAAGTCAAATTGGCCTTAGGAAGCATTACTATGAACAAAGCTAGTGGAGGTACTGGAATTCCAGCTAAGCTATTTCAAATCGTAAAAGACGATGTGGTTAAAGTGTTGCATTCAATATGTCAGTTAACTTGGAAAACTCAGCAGTAGCCACACAGCTGGAAAAGATCAGTTTTCATTCCAATCCCAAAGAAGGGCAATGCCAAAGAATGTTCAAACTATTGTACAATTTCACTCATTTCACATGTTAGTAAGGTTAAGGTCAAAATCCTTCAAGCTAGGCTTCAGCAGTACGTGAACCAAGAACTTCCAGATGTACAAGCTGGTTTAGAAAGGCAGAGGAACCAGAGATCAAATTGACAATATTTGCTGGATTATGGAGAAAGCAAGGGAATTCCAGAAAAACATCTACTTCTGCTTCCTTGACTCTGCCAAAGGACAGACTGGATCACAACAAACTGTAGAAAATTCTTAAAGAGATGGGAGTACCAACTACCTTACCTGACCCCTGAGAAAACTGTATGTGGGTCAAGAAGCTACAGTTAGAACTGGGCATGAAACAGCTGACTGGTTCAAAATGGAGAAAGGAGTACGACAATGTTGTCTATTGTCACTCTACTTATTTAAATCTATGCAGAGAACATCATGAGAAATGCCAGGCTGGATGAATCACAAGCTGGAATCAAGATCTCCAGGAGAAATTACAACAACCTGAGATATGCAGACCCTAACACTCTAAAAAGAAGAACTAACAGCCTCTTGATAAGGGTGAAAGAGGAGAGTGAAAAAGCTGGCTTGAAACTCAACATTCAAAAGACTAAGATCATGGCATCCAGTCCCATCACTTCATGGCAAATACAAGGAGTAAAAGTGGATGCAATGACAGATTTTATTTTCTTGGGCTCCAAAATCACCAGGGATAGTGACTGCAGCCATGAAATTAAAAGACACTTGCTCCTTGAAATGGAAGTTATGCCAAACCTAGACAGTGTATTAAAAAGCAGAGACATTGCTTTGCTGACTAAGGTTCATATAGTCAAAGTTATGGTTTTTCCAGTAGTCATGTATGAATGTGACAGCTGGACCATAAAAAAAGCTGAGAGTCAAAGAACTGATGCTTTTGAATTGTGGTGCTAGAGAAGGCTCTTGAGAACCCCTTGGACTGCAAGGAGATCAAACTAGTCAATGCTAAAGGAAATCAACCATGAATATTTATTGGAAGGACTGATGCTTAAGCTGAAGCTCCAATACTTTGGCCACCTGATGTAAAGAGATTAGAAAAGACCTTGATCCTGGGAAAGACTGAAGGCAAAAGGAGATGTGGACAACTGAGGATGAGATGGTTAGATACCATCACCAACTCAATGGCCATGAATTTGAGCAAATTCCAGGAGATAGTTGAGGACAGAGGAGCTTGGTATGCTGCAGTCCATGGGGTCACAAAGAGTTGGAGACAACTTAGGGGCCAAAAACAACACCACTGTTACTCCAATTTTATAGATAAGAAAACTGAAGCACACAGGTAGGTCAAGTAACTAACTTTCAGAGGCAAATAATGAAAGTAGCAAAGATTCAAATCTAAGATGTATCTGACTTCATTCATTACCTTTTACAGTCATTATGTTTGACTAGGTGATGGGATAATAGAAGATTATTTGTTCTTTTTGTTAGGTTGGTTGATTTTGAGTAATTTCAAATTTTATTCAATAAATATTAACATGATTTGATTTTTAAACCAGGGGGAAAAAGTTACTGAAGGATAAAATGTGAAAATGTGTATAAATGATAAAGAAAAATTTGAAGATCTGGTAATCTTCCAAGCTGGTCATTATATTTCCTTTAGTTTCATGTTGACAAAGCCTTGAAGGACTTCTTCTCTCTCCTTGTTATTCTCTGGAACTCTGCATTCACTTGGATATATATTTCCCTTTCTCCTTTGCCTCTTGCTTCTCTTTTTTCTCAGCTATTTGTTAAGGCCTCCTCAGACAACCACATTGCCTTCTTGCATTTCTTTTTCTTGGGGATTGTTTTGGTCATCACCTCCTGTAAAATGTTACAAACTTCCGTCCATAGTTCTTCAGTCATTCTGTCTACCAGATCTAGTCCCTTGAACCTATTCATCACCTCCACTGTATAATCATAAGTAATTTGAATGCACTAATGGCTTTCCCTACTTTCTTCAAATTGAGTCTGAATTTTACAATAAGGAGCTGATGATCTGAGCCACAGTCAGCTCCAGGTCTTGTTTTTGCTGACTGTATAGGGCTTCTCCATCTTCAGATAAAAAGAATATAATCAATCTGATTTCGATATTGACCATCTGGTGATGTCTATGTGAAGAGTCGTCTCTTATGTCATTGTTTACTATGACAAGTGTGTTTTCTTGGCAAAACTCTGTTGCCTTTGCCCTGCTTCATTTTGCACTCCAAGATCAACCTTGCCTGTTATTCCAGGTACCTCTTTACCTTCTACTTTTGTATCCCAGTCCCCTATGATGAAAAGAACATCTTTTTTTTTTTTGGGGGGGGGGTGTTAGTTCTAGGAGATCTTGTAGGTCTTCACAGAACCATTCAACTGCAGCTTCTTCAGCATTAGTGGTTGGGGCATAGACTTGGATCATTGTGATGTTGAATGGTTTGCCTTGGAAACAAACTGAGATCATTCTGTCATTTTTGAGATGGCATCCAAGTACTGCATTTTGAACTCTTTTGTTGACTATGATGGCTACTCCATTTCTTCTAAGATTCTTGCCCACAGTAGTAGATATAATGGTCACCTGAATTAATTTCTCCCATTCCTGTCCATTTTGTTCACTGATTCCTAAAATAATGATGTTCACTCTTGCCATCTCCTATTTGACCACATCCAATTTACCTTGATTAGCATGCAGCAACGGCACCCCACTCCAGTACTCTTGCCTGGAAAATCCCATGGACGGAGGAGCCTGGTGGGCTGCAGTCCATGGGGTCGCTAAGTCGGACATGACTGAGCAACTTCACTTTCACTTTTCGCTTTCATGCATTGGAGAAGGAAATGGCAACCCACTCCAGTGTTCTTGCCTGGAGGACCCCAGGGACAGAGGAGCCTGGTGGGCTGCTGTCTATGGGGTCACACAGAGTCGGACACGACTGAAGCGACTTAGCAGCAGCATGCGTGCACACAAAAAGTGGAGTAAGGTAACACCTGAGTCTGAGTTGACTCAACACTGCCCACAACAGGTCCAGAGACCTTCCCACAAATATTGGATGACTGAGCAGGGAGATTGACTGAAGAAAACTGTGTGGAGAGGAAAACGGAGGAATCACAAGGATATTCTTCATACTGCCATTCTCTATATATTTTTTCTTTTTTCTCATAAGTTTTTATGTTGTCCTTTCTTTACTATTCAATT